TAGATTCAGTAAATCAGATAGAAGTCATAGCAGAGAGGCCACTCAATAAATCCACCTCTGCGGGACAGCCTGGAGAATCCCAGAGAAGTAAGATTAGGGAGGAGGTGGCATGAGTATTGGCCAATGACACTTTTCTAGGTAGAGGTGGAGTCCAGGTGGTGGAGCCTCCTAGTGGGAAAGTGTGAGCAATGACTGGGAGTCTTTCTAGCTCAGTGATGGGCAGCGTTGGGTCCTTAGGAACGTTATCGCATCAGCCCGTGCATTCATGCAAAGTCAAGTACTTTGCCCAAGCAGGGATGCTGGGGCTGTTGACTACTCTGCCTGCATTGTCAGGGTTCAGCCACCAGGGCACTACAGAAGGCCAAAAATTGGTAGAAAGCAATTTGCCCTCCTGAAGATTAAATGTTAGGTAATGACCAGAGACAGGATTTCATTGTTCTCATTGTGGGGTTGAGAGTACGTCACCTCCACATATGCCACTTTGGCCTATTGATTACTTTGAATTAAAGATTTTCAAGAAACAGAAGAACTTTCTAACCCTCCTTTATTCTCCTGTAAGCAGGTGAAAGATGCCCTCCCTGTACCAGTGGGGTAGAAGGCATCCTTATTACAGAGAATTTAGGGCCTGGAAGGTTGTATAAATAAACCTTGTTATTTTTTCACTGTTTACTATGCCTAGCCCAAATCCCCCGGCTTTGTCAATTCTTCAAATGTATTGTTTCTTCATGCAAAAGCTTTCTACTCTGGTCATGTCTTGGATTCTGTATCACTGTGGAGGCGCCCATACGCACATACATAATGAAATTTGTTTTTCTCTTGTTTCTCTGTGTCTCAGCCAAGAACCCAGAATGGAGGCAAAATTATTTTCCTCTCTGACTCATTAAATAAAGGTCATGATGGGGGAGATTTCCAAATGCAAGCTTTGACATGTGTCAGGGCTCAGCCATCATTTTGCGTTGAGACCCTCTCCCCGCACTAATCTCAGTTCCTTCAGTGACTTTGTGATATCAACTTTCATCCAGTGGCTCTTCAATGAAACATTCAGGCTCATCATCACTCTCTCACGCTCCCCATAGCAAAGCGCTCATCATTGACTTCTCTAACTTATTCTCTCTACATCGTTTCAAACTTTCAGTAAATCTTCCAAATACATCTTACATCCATCGATGCTCCTATGACCCTGGCCTCTCTTTTTTGGGGTGGGTGTACAGCAGTCCCCTCTTAACTGTCTGCATCTTCCCCTCTTCCCCCACTGCATTCTGTTCTCACACTGCACGCAGAATGAGCTTTTTACAAAAGCAAATCAGATCTTGTTACTATTCTGCTTAAAATCCTTCAGTGGCTGTTTTCCCATTGCATGTGGGAAAATATGCAAATTCCTTCCCGTGGTGCCTGCGAACTGGTCCTTGCCTGCCCAGCTTTCTTGGCCGGACTTTGTTGCAGGCACACTGGCTTGCTTTTAGTTCTCATCTGTTTGCAAGCTCTATGTGGCCTCAGGGCATTTGCTTCCTCTGCCAGGACTACTATGAGCCTGGACTTCTCTACCTTTCATGACTTTGCTGAAGTGCTAGTTCTTCAGAGAAGCCCTCTCTGATCATCTAAGCAGGTCTCCCCTTCTTTAAAGTGATAGCAGGTCTCCCCTTCTTTTAAGTGGTAGCATTTATTTAATTTCCTTTTTAGAACTTATCACTGGGTTGAATTATGTCCTCTAAAAATATATGTCTAATTTATAACCACTGGTCCCTGTGAATGTGGCCTTATTTAAAAAAAGAGTTTTTGTAGATATAACCAAGTTAAAACGAAGTCATACTGGTGTGGAGAAGGAAGAAACTTTTCTCTACCCTCCAGGTTCTTTAGGCTGGTCTAATAATTAGATCTATGTGGGACAGATTAACAAGAGAACATAATAAAATTATATATGCATCCAGGGAACTCCACTTACATCAGAGAGTCAGAGACCCCACACACATGAGAGGTTTGGAGACAGAAAGTTAAAATGAGGTTGATGTGGCATTCTTAGCTAGGGTTGAAGTAAGGTGCCTGGGACTTTGGGGGAGGAAGGTCATTGCAGGACGATAAGGAGAGCAGATGTTCAGTAATGAGAATTTTGTCCTGCCCTACAGGTAGGTCATAAAGGTTATCTCTGGTAATCTCTTATTATGGGCAAAGCCCCTAATTCAAATTCTTCCAAGTAGTTTAAGGGGAGGGGCAGATGTTTCTCTTGAGCCCACAGGGTTTTGGTTGCCTTTAGCTCTGAGTAATCTGCGTACCACAGAATGCGGCACATCTTGGAGTGACACATTCTGAACCCCGACACTGGATTAGGGTGGGGACTACTCCATTGGCTGGTGTCCTTATAAGAAGAGGGAAATTTGCACATAGGTGGACTTAAGGGAGTACTCCATATGAAGACGGAAGCAGAGACTGGAGTGAGGCATTCATAAGCCAGAGATTGTCAGGGCTTGCTGGCATCCTCCAGAAGTTGGGAGGTGCAAGGAAGGATTCTCTTCTAGGGCCTCCAGACAGAACCAACCTTAATTTCAGACTTCTGGTCTCCAGAACTGTGAGAAAATAAATTTCTGTTGTTTTAAGGCATCAAGTTTTGGTAATTTGTTACCTAGGAAACTAATACAGTTGGTAATTATTTTGTTTGCTTATTTGTTTATGATCAGACTTTTATTTCTTCATTGTCTTTTGTATCTCTACTGCCCAGCTGCGTGCTTAACACATAGTAGGTACTCACCAAATATCTGTGGATGCATCACTTATTCTACAGAATTAGCCATAGCATCTTATGCACTTGAGCTTGTCTTGTGTTCACCGCTCTGTATCATGCCCACTTTCTGTTCATCACCTCCCTCTGAATTATTGCAAGAGCCTTCCTTCTGGTCTTCTCGCGGCTTAACTTTTTCTTCTCCTTTAACATGAGTCTGGTCTCATTTGTTTTACTTTTAAATCCTTTATTCCTCCCCTCCCCCACTCCCCATTGCCCTGTACGAGCTGTAGGACCTTGGACACGCTCTGTGAACTCTCAGCCTCAATCTCAGTCCCTTCATCTGTGGAATGAGATTAATAATTGCACCTCCCTTACCAGGTTGAAGTAAAGGTTAACCAAGAATCAATACAAAGCACTTAGCACAACGCCCAGCGCATCACGGGAGCCCTGTGAATGCCAGCTTTCACCATTAAGGTTGGCGTTTGTTTTGGATTGAGGCTAGAGACTGGAGGCTATATAAAATGAGTTCTTGGTTAAGATGGGGAAAAGCGTTTGAAGAATCACATGTTCAAAGCTGGCTTGCCCAAAGCAGTTTTTGCCTAACATTTTGGCCTGTTGAGATTCAACAAGTTTGGCCCGTAGAAAAGACATCTATTTTAAAAGCGTGAGTTTGCATATCATTATACGCACAGTGAAAATACACTAAGTGGAAAACTTAAAGTGGGCTCACATTTATATTAAAATCATAGCATTTGCACCATAGACATAATCTTAAATATAGACATAAAGGAATTCATTTTAATCATAGCTCAGAGTTGATGCTCTCTATTTCTGAACATCTCTTAATCAAGAAATTTCCAAAAAAAAAAAAAAAAAGTTTAAAATGCACGGTAACACATTTCAGAGCAATTCCAAAATTTAATATGTGCAAATTATTCATATATTCATAATTTTATTATAGCATGAGATGTGGGGAATCAAGGGCAGGATAAAGGGAATATCTATTAGCTGCTTGAAAAACCCAGAAGTGAAATGAATTTAAATATTTTAACTACCTTCCTATGGACTCAGTGCCGTTGCCAAAACTCTAGCTATTTAATAAGATTAGATGTTCTCGACGATTTGAAAGGCTAAATCGGTGAGGACTTTAAAAAAAAACTTCCTTTCAAAAAGTCAGGTTTTCTGTAGAATAGAACCAAACTGAGATGTGGTCAGCTGTGTTTCTAAAGCCGCTTTGGTTTGATTTGGTAAGTTTAAAAAGCCAGCAAGGAAGGGCGTGAATGATTGAAAATGGAAGTATGAACACGCCTTGATGGTACAGCTAGCCTCGGGGAGCTCCCAGTGAAATGAGTGTGCTGTTATTTATTATTTAGTAAAATTAGAAATTCTGAAAGTTAAGTAGGAGAAACAGGCTTTTGGCCAAAGGGCTATAGCCTGGAGGGTGAAACTGATGCTTCAGGCAGCCACCTTTCCAAAGCCACACACTCTGTCTATTTTTCCCTCGCGCGCGGAAGGTACCTCTGGTACCTGTGAATGCAGCCTACTTAGAAATAGGGTCTTAGACGACTGTCTATTTTTCCCTCGTGTGTGCGCGCGCGCGTGTGTGTGTGTGTGTGTGTATTTAAGGACCTCCCTGAATTGTCATATGTCTGTTTCTGGACCTATCCCAACAACTATTTGTGCATCCTTGGGTTCCTAGAGTCACTCAGGGGAGGCAGAGACTATATGACAAGACTCGTAACACGTATTTTTCACATTACGTCACATTCTCCTTCGCTTCACTCCCCTCTCTTCTCACCCTTGCTGCCCTGTTTGCACGTCCCAAATAAAGCACCGACACGTTTATCCTTGCCTCAAGTTCTGTTTTCCAGGGAATTTAGGCTAACGCAGTGTCACGAAAAAAAACCCCAAATCCCACAGTTCAGCACCAGATCTATGCTCAGTGTCACAATAGAGTTAAGTGAAATCTGTTCTATCCTAAATTGGTTCATAACACTTTATTTAAAATGCACCAATGGCTGCCCAATGCACTTGGTCTAAAACCCTCACCCCTAACCCTACAGAACCCCACCTGACCTGTTCCCTGCTCACCAATCCATTCTCGCCTCCGACACACACCAGTCACACAGGTCCTCTTTCAGGTCTTCCAGCCTACCTGCTCCCCTTCTGGCCTAAGGGACATCACCCTTTCCCTTCCCTTTGCCAGGTGGCTGGCACGGCCGCCTTCTATTGATCTAGTGGGTCTCAGACAAAATCTCACCTTTCTTTTGTATTTGTTTCCCAGGGCTGCCATAACAAAGTGCTGCAAGCTTGGTGGCTTACAACAACAGGAATTTATTCTCCTGGAGGCCAGAAGTCTGCAATCAAGGTGTGGGCAGGGCCATGTTCCCTCTGAAGGCTCTAAGGAAGAATCCGTCCCTGCCTCTTCCAGCTTCGGGCCGTCCTTGGCGTTCCTTGGTTTGTAGACATATCATTCCAATCTCTGCCTGTTTTTACATGGCATTTTCCCTTGTGTCTGTCTGTGTGCCAATTACCCTCTTCTTGTTAGGACACCAGCCAATGGGTAGGGCCCACCCTAATCTGGTATGACCTCGTCTTACCTTGATTACGTCTAAGACCCTATTTCTAAGTAGGCTGCATTCACAGGTACCAGAGGTTAGACCTCCATATATCTTTTGAGGGGACGCAGTTCACCCCACAACACCTCCTTCACAGGATTCCTCTGAGCAGAAGTCCTGAAGCGCCTCGTTCCTTCAACCTTACTTAAAGGTGTTGTGCTGTGGTGTGTGGATCAGTGTCACTTTCTAGAGGCTAATGGAATGCCTGATCCATGGACGTGGGATTCCACATTGGGCCGAGGGACTTGCTTCACAGTGAGGGAGGCACAGGGGTGGGCGCAGGACCGCTGGTCATGTTATATTCTGTACCGTCCAGAAGCAGCTGTTCGCAGACAATGTTGCATTGTCGAAATTCCAGTTTCTACGCCGCGCTCTGAAAGACGGGCGGTCATCTTTCAGGATGCAGCACATGCGTTAAATGACAGGGACCACTCTGTGATGCTGGGTTCCCCGTCGGAAGAGTATACGGGACCAGGAACCGAGGGATGGAAGCAGGAGGGCTCTCGCTTACCATCACTTGCAGTAATCCACTGGGGATCGTCTGCTTCCGTCTCTGACAGTCTGGGCTCTGCAGAGTTGTAGTTCCTGGTCCCCACAGCGAGTGCACTCTTGATGGGAGACATAGCAAGAGTGTCACTGAACTACAAGCTGTACCAGGACACTGGGGACACCTGAGCCCGGAGCAGCAGGAGAAAAGGGAAATCGCCATACTAGTAGGCATTTATGAGATGCTTCGACGTAGTGGGAGGAATGTGTATGAAACCCAGGTGACCTACTCGGGGGCCTCCTGGTTCTCCCTTGTCCCACTAAAACTGTGAATGACTTGTGCGACAACCCCGGCCTGAGAAAGGTGTGATTTGGCAAGAGTTCAGACCTCTCAGGAATGAAGGTTTGGGCCAAGTGGGTCATCAAGATAGGCCAAGGTGGTGGCTGACGGGGAAGGTGTAGAGCGAGCAGCGGAGGAGGAAAGGGCGGGTGCCGGCTGCAGCCTCAAGACCAACTGCAGTGACAGAGGCCTTGGAGGGAACCCTAATTTCCCTCTTTGAAGTTCCCCCATGGAAGAGGGCCACTCCTCAGACATGTACGGAGACTGTGGTGGCCGGGACGGCGTACAGGGGCATACTTGACTGACCACGCCAGCTGCTGCCGCTGGCCACTGCTTTCACACTGAGACGGAGCTTCCCGCGGCTGCTCCCAGCAGGGCCTGAGTTTGGCACCGGTCCTAGTGCCCCAGGCCCACTCCTGCGAGGCGCAGGGTCCCTGCGATGGGCGACGTTGGCTCAAGAGCTGCCCACTGGGCTGGCCAAGCCCTTCGTGGACTTGCAAGACTCTTGCTGCCAGTTTCCCTCCTGCCCCACCCCCCACCTCCACCGGCAGTGGTGTGAGGCCTGCATTAGGGCTTGGAGTTTCTCCCCTTTCTCTGCCTTCCTACCTTCATTCTTCACAAGTGTCGCCCCCCCAAACCTGTGGCAGTCTAATTCCATCCTGGTGACTGCATCTTGGAGGACTTCCAACCAATGATGGAGTTTCTTCCCCCGTCCCCTCCCCTCCCAAGACCTCCCCTCTCTCCAGTCTGTGTCTTACTTAGCACCATGCTTTTCCCAAGACAGCACTTTCACAATCGTCTGTTCTTTATTACTTTGTTTTTTTTTTCTTTTTCATTTCTCTTTGCTTTAATTTTAATTTTTTTTTTTTTTCTGTTTCTGCCACTAGACTGTAAACTCCATTAGGGCAGTAACCACATCGGAAATGAACTCACTGCTGTACCTTGGTGCCTGGTATGGCCCCTAGAGTGTAGTGGGCATGCGATCAATACTTATGAAATGGGAGTATTGATCATCTAATGCTGCAGACAGCACCGTCAGCACGCTCTGTGTCTTGTGGTTGTTGGTGTTTAGCGTGGAGACCAAATGTGAACACAGGGAGAAGTCAGTGAATTGAAAAACAAGAAATCAAACTTCCCTGACTCGGTAAGCCTTACCATTGCAAACGGTCAGGACACCCAAGAGTGAAGCCGCTTTGGAAAAGTCTAAAGAGCCGACGGAATGTGGCACTTCTGATGGTGCTGAGAGGAAGCAGGAGTTCAGAGGGACCGATCTTCAAAGGCGATCCTCATGGAAAACCAGGAGAGGCCCTCTAGACATGGCCCCAAATCAAATTAGCCTTTTCATGTCCACAAGCGATCAAGGCTCCTGAGGGGCGCACAGAGATCTAAGAAAGGGGGAGAGAAGCAAGCGCCAATATGTTTGCATTGGAATCTGCGTGTGCAGGACTCGCTCAGCGGGGCTTCTGAGCTCTGTGCTTCATTAGATCCTGGCTCTGAGCTGTTTCATCTCCTCCGGCTCAACTTAGCACAAGGCCTACTTCCCCTTGGCTCTGTTTCAAGTTGAAGAAGCAATGAAACCATCCGCAGTTTATGGTTACACTACAGGGCTAGTGTTTCTGGCTTAGTATTTGCTATTCCTTTGTGTTCTGGTTCGTTTTGTGTTCTTTTGAAGTTTCTTTCATTTTGAACTGCAGTACACTAGAAAGGGCTTGCTTAGTAACATTTAGTTCTCATGAAGAAGTTTTTAGTGGCAGTGAAGAGGCAGTATTGCTCAGTGGTTAATACCATGGTTTTGGACTCTGTATCAGTCAGGGTAGATGCGGTCATGTTACAGTAGCAAACAATACCCATATCTCATTCACACAATGTGTCCGTCTTATCTCAGGGTGCTATAACAAAATATCATAGGCTGGGTGTCTTAAACAACACAAATGTATTTCTCACAGTTCTGGAGGCTGGGAAGTTGAAGATCAAGATGCCTGCAGATTTGGTGTCTGGTGAAAGCGCTCTTCCTGGCTTGCAGCTGGCTGCCTTTTCACTCTGTCCTCCCATGGATGAGAGCAAGCTCTCTGATTTTCTTCTTATATGGGCACTAAGCCCAACGTGAGGGCCTCACCCTCATGACCTCATTGAGACCTACTCACCTCCCAAAAGACCCATCTCCAAATACCACCACACTGGGGGCGAGGGCTTCAACATATGAATTTTGGGAAACACAAACATTAAGGCTGTAACAGTGTCCCTCCTGGGTCAGCCAGCTCCATGCTTCGTCATCCTCCCATTGGAACTCAGGCCTGCAGAGCCGACATTGCCTGGGGCATTGCCATTCACCATGGCAGAGAGAAAGCGAATGTGGTGAATTAAGCACTGGCTCTGAAAGCTCCTGCCTTCAAGTGAGCCACACCCCTTCTGCTCACATTTCCTTCATCAAAAGCAAATTTTACATCCACCTGTGACTTTGAAGAGGAGCATGGAAAGTCTAATCCTGCCTTGTGTTCAGGAGGGAACTGTAGTATTGGGAGGAGCTCCACTGACCACCAGAGTCACACAGTCTAGATATTGCTGGGAAGGTATTTTCTAGATGTGACTAACATTTAAATCAGCAGACTCTGAATAAAGCAGATTACTCTCCATAATGTGGGTGGGCCTCATCCAATCAGTTGAAGACCTTAAGAGCAAAGATTGAGACTTCTCAGAGAAGAAGGAATTTGGCCTCAAGACTGTAACATAGAAACCTTACTTGCGTTTCCAGACTGCCTGGCTTGCCCTGTGGATTTTGGACTAAAGACTGCAATATCAACTCTTTCCTGAATTTTTCAGCTTGCTGGCCTGTTCTCTGATTTCACATTTGCCAGCCCCCAAAATTGCATGAGCCAATCCCTGAAAATATCCATCTATTCATCATCCATCTATCTAAGAACTCACTAACCTTCTCTAATTGAGTCACCTACCACTGGTTATATAACTTATGAGGCACAGGGCAAAATTACAACACAGATCCCTGGTTAAAAAAAAAATCACTAAGAATTTCAAGATGGTATTAGCAGAGTATCCAACCCAGTACAAGACATGTGACCTGTGTAGGTGAACGTGGCCCAGCACTTACCGGTCGTGGGCCTACGTCGTCGGCTTTGGAGACACCTCACGGTCCCTCATGGTTTTGCATCAGGTCAGTGCTCAACTATAGTGTGTTCTTGGTGGTCTTTGGCTGGAGGGCATTTATGAGAATTTCCTTTCAATCTTTCATGTATACAGAATCTTTTACTTAAGTAAGAACATATTTTTTCTTTTCTATTTTTCTATCTTGTACTTATTCTTTAAAAATATATCGATCAGCTGCATAATGTTCAATATTATAGGTGTCTATATCCACATATGGAGAGGCCACATTCCTTGTTAAAATTTGCTACATATACCTGATTGTTTATATCTGTTTTGAAGTAGTTAAAAAGAAATGATCCAAAACTGTGCAAGAAATGAGGTTTTATGTAATACATATAAAAAGCATGCATTTAAATAAACTGGAATATTAAAGCACTAAATAAACAATAATTACGAAAGTAATGTGTCATAATAAATACAATTTTTAACCACCAAAGTAAATGATGTTGAAAGCATCTAGCTATAGATGCAGTACTACAACAATATGTGAATTTCTGGATGATATTTCTGAACTTTGAGAAAAGGTAAGGCTTTTGGTCTGGACTTGTAGTTTTCCTATAGGCCACGGTGCCTGCTCTGTGCTACACATGGGTCATCCTGCAAAAAGGGAACTCTGGCATTTGCCTGCTACTCATTACCTTACTACCAACCCCTTGCCTTAATTCACTTCTCAAACTCAAACGTATCCTGCCCTCTAGCTTTGCATGTGCTTCGTCTTCCCTTGCAATTCCAGCATTTAACACACAGTGCTGTTTTCCTGGCTTTGGTTTTGCAATGACCCTATTTGTGAGATCTCCCTCTGGTTATATTGCCTTGGACGAACAACCTTCTAGAGGTTGACTGACTCTTGT